CAACATATCTGTAGTTAAAAGGAGTCCTATTCAACAGCTCAGTGGATCCTCTAACACTTGGCAGAGGAAACTTATCTTTCTGTCTTCCATGGATATGTTATCAGCATGCTTTTTAAAGAGACATTTTAAATTACCTTAATTTATGACCTGTCTTACTTTTCTCTTGTTGCTGAGACAAAATACCCAGCACCCAAAACTAAGGAAGGCAAGGTTTATTTAGCTCACAGTGGATATTTCACTCCATAAGCATCTAGCTCCAAAGCAGGGTGGCATGACACAGGAGCAACAGTTCAAGATAGCAGAAGTCAGCAGAAGCAGCAAGATAAAACTGAGGAGTGTAAGTCATTCCGCTGCCTTACGCTGTAAGCAGGCTCCCTCACGTGACTGCAGCACTTGTACTACCTCAGGGCCCTCCTCGGAGGCCCTTCTGAGCACAGGCTCAGGATATTTTCAGAGTGAGGACCCTGGCCCTCTGCTGAGGGCCTTGGTTAAACTTCTAAACTTCTCAAGTTGACCCAACGTATCAATCATAACATGACCCAAAGCCATCTTCATTGTCCACTGCTGAGAATCACACAGTCTTCTATTCCGTTAATTGTATAGAGCAGCTGAAGCTTAAGGTTGATCACATCAAGCCCAGTCCTGAGAATACAGAGAGCCCAAAGCAAGCCAGGTGAACAAGCTGTCCCAGCTCCAGGAAGGCAAGGGGCCCAGGCCAGCCAGGCAAACAAGTTGCTAGGCAGCAGGGTTGAAATTGACATCATCATCCTGGGTGTATAAATAAATGTGCTACAGTGGTTGAGCCATCCCTTTTCTCCCATCAGAAGAATAAGTGCTCCACCTGACCTCAGCTTTTGTTTATTTTCTCATCCTCTGGCTGTCCTTTCTCCTGGGGATCATCTAGAGCTGCACTGGGTCATGGCAATTAATAGACACTTCTTAGATGAAGTTTAAAAGGCCAATGAAAAAGTACATTAAAAAAAAGCTCAACATTGCTGGGTCATTCAAGAAATGCAAATTAAAAAACTGAGATTCCATCTCATGCCACGAAGAATGGTTATCATCAAGAAATCAATCTATAACAAATGCTGATAAGGGTATGGGGAAAAAAGAACACATCTCCATTGTTGATGGGAGTGTAAATTAGTACAACCACTGTGGAAAACAGTATGGAAATTCCTCAAAAAGCTAAAACTAGAGGTTCCATTTGACCCAACTTGTTCCCTTTATAGGTCTATCTTGTCAAATGAGTTAAAGTCATCATACTACAATGATATATGCATATCCATGTTTTATAGCAGCACAATTTATAACAGCTAAATCTTGGAAACAGTCCATATTGCCCATCAGTGGCTCAATGATGAAATGTGGTATTTAAATAAAATGAAATACTACTTTGCCATAAAGGAAAATAAACTTCAGACATTTTTTTAGGTAAATGGATGCACCTCGAGATCTTAAGTAAAATAAAGCAGACACGTAAGTTTAAAAATCACATTGTTTGTTTTGTATGAGGAATCCCAAGGTTAAATACAGGGCAAAATGGAGGATAGATCTTGAGAAGTAGGAAAAACTTTTTCAAATGGAAAGGGGAACAAGAGCAGGGAGGGGAAGGGGAAGGAAAGGAAAGGGGCTTTAAAGGGAAAAAAGGAAAAATGAACACAGCTTTTGTAAAGGGAGAGAGAAAGACAGGAGAGAGGAGAAGAAAAGGGGACAGAAAGAATTCAGATGTGTTATGTACATGTCCAAATCCCCCATGATGAACATGATCATTGTGTACCACAAACATGTATGAATAAAAATAAAAAATAAATAAAGCAAAACACACATACACAAAATCGAATTCCTAAGTGAAATATCATCAGGTCTTGAGGTAAGAGAGGGGCAAAGTAGTCAAACAACTGAACATTACCTGTTAAAGTCATGAGACTCCGGCCACAGGCACAGAATGCAGAATCCGAGATGATGTTGCAGTTCCTGAACACTGTACTTGAAACCAATCAGAAAAGTATTATTTTCAAGTCTTGGTTTACATTTAATGTGAAACCAAGCAAGTCTGTGATAGGATAGTTTAAATATGGTGCAGATCAAGTTAAGTTTTTTTTAATAGGACAGCTGTCTTATTCGCAAGAGAGAGAAGCCAGTTTTAAAAATTCCAGATACCAAAGATTCCCCTCCATTATCCTTGTGGCCACTGTGACTCTGTTCACTAGCCTGCTCTCACTCTACAAAGCACACTCCTTTTCTGCCTTTAGTAAATGTACATGCCCACTTCTTTTTCTGTGTGTCTGGTCCAATTTTTTGTTCAGGACACCAAGAACCTGGAAAGAATTTTCTTAGAACTCATCAGCTGGTAACAATCTCTTCTTTGGGATCTAAGGACAGCAAGGTATCTCTCCTTTACTTTGATGTTCATTTTCATCACAGCTACCTAAATATCGTGAAATGCCATTCTTCCTATTTGATTATTAGGAGACAGCATCTTGCCTGTAAGGGTATGATTATGCATAGTTAAGATTATTTCTGGATGTCCCCACAAGCGGCTGAAATCTAGAGTTAATGCTAGGATTAAGGGCGTGTGATTACTAAATTAGTTCACTGATGGGTTTAGCACATCCCCTAAACTGGTTAGGATAGACATTATATAAAAGGGGCCAAAAGAAGCTGCTACTGTTACTTTTTGTGTGTTGCATGTTGTTTGCTGCTGCTTGCCTTCTGCTCTTCAATGGCCCCCTGCCATGCCACACTGCCTTGGAGCCCCTCAATTACAGACTCAATCCTCTACCAACTGAGCCAAAATAAACCCTTCCTCTTTAAACTTTTGGTATGGAGCATTTTGTCTCAGCAATGAGAAAGATGATCAAGACAACTGTTCAACATAGTCCCACAGATTATAACTTTTCACCTCTCCTGCAACAGTATCAAAAGTTTCCATCTACTCTACTAAAAGCTCTCATCTGAGAGAGGCAGTCTTACCTACTTTGAGTATAGCTTTCACCAGCCTGTCAGACTGCATCTTTCCTGGGAGTTTCACGCAATCCCATCTCTCCTACCTATCATGACATTTTATCTGCTTTCCCTGAGTAATGAACTTTCACATTATGGGATGATCTTGATTTATCTGCCTGAATATCTTTTCTAACTAAATTTCATACTTTTTATCTCGTATCCAGGAGGTCACAAGAGGCTCAATTGAATGCCTAGTAGATCTCAAATGTCTTACCTGAGTATCAAGGAGTTATCACTGTCTCTTCCTGTGTGTGAAAACATCTCCACATACCACAGGGCCACAGACCTCATCTCCGCCACCCACAGGCTCAGAAGTCACATTCTCAGCGTGTTCCTTCTTTGCATCTTTTCTGCCTGAAAGTCAAAAGGTCTTACATCCTCCAGCGAGTGTAAAAAGGGTGCACCTCATCTGTGTGAGTGTTCCGAAGTCTCAACTGCCAGATGAAGAGTCAGGGCTGTCATTTTTTCATCTGACTGCCGGGAAGTCTGCTTTCCTCAAGTATAGTCTCATCCTCCTACCTGAATGTCAAGAGTTTGCCTCCTCTCCCAGGCTGCCCTATACTGAGTGTCCAAAGTGCTCTCATCTCCCCAGTCTCAAGGTCTTGCCTTCCCTACCTGAGGGTCATGAAATACCATATCTTCTATCTTAGTTGCCAGCCTGAGAATATGGCTCCTGGTTTGCAATGACTGTAGGCCGATCTTGTCTCTGTCTGGCATTTAGGCCTTGCCTCTTCAGCGATATGTCTGGAGCTCCCGTATCTCCTAAAAGGTAGGAGATGCTATACTCCCTGCTGGAGCATAAGCATACTCTACCTTACTTCCCCTACATGAATGATACAAAGTCTTACCTTCCCCGCTTCAGTGCCAGGCATCCATCTCTTCTGCTCATCTGACAGGGTACCTCATTTTCTCCAGGATAACATTCAGAGGTCTATTTCATATACCTTATTCTTGAGCATTATTTTCTTCACATACTCTCCCTGTAAGTCTGATAGTATCTCTTATTATAGGACAAGGACATTTCATTGTTTCTTACAGTTAGCACAGGGTCTGTTTCCCCACATGAGTGGCAGAATTATTTAACTGTCTGCCCAAAAGTCTTACCCTTACCTGAATATGGATAAGTATTACTTTCCTATCTGTTAGCCAAGAGGTTTTGGTTTCCCTCTACAAATGTAAGCAGATCTTAATAATAGTAACTGAATGCCATGAGATTTTTATCTCTGCTTCATGCCTGTCAGGTCTCTTGGACTCTAGATGAATGTAAGGAGGGTGTCTCCTCTATGTCAGATTCTCAAATACTTTATCCAAGTATCAGGATCTTTTATCTAAGTCACAAGGAATTGTTTCTCCTATCAGAAGAATTCTTCTCCCCTTTTAAGTGTGTAATATTTCTCCTTTCAACATTTATGTCAAGTGGACTCACTTTCTAGATTTGAAGGTCAGGAACTCCTATTTAACCAACTTGAGTGTTAAGAAGTTTCAACTGAACTACTGAATGTTAAGAGACCTCACTTATTTTAACTGCGATCAAGGTGTACTTGATAAATAGCCAAAATGATTTGGGAAATGTAGTTCCAGAAATAGAAATAAGAACTCAAGGGATAACACTAAAGTTTGGACTATTAGGGCTGGTTGTACAATTCAGGGTAAGCATTTGTGTAGTGTGTTTAAGGATTTGAGTTTAATACCCAGAACTGCAATAGTAATAATGATAGTAATATAATAGAAGTTTTGATTGTTAAAGAAAATATTACTCAAGTGTTTTTAAAGGATCTTGATAGATATAACATTAGTATAGTATTTAGACCCATGAGAATTGTTTTTTAAAATGGTATTTCATTTTAAACAGTAATAACAACTTAGCAACGTTAAATGTTAACAACTTTCCATACATTAAAATCTTGGTAATTACTGAAATATAGAATGAAAGTGTTGCCTATACACTTTAAAATGAGAGGTAGCACTTAGTTTTATTTATTTTTGTTTCCTTATGTTTCCCCGTTCACAATACAAACAAGTCACAAGGCCTGGGCTGAAGTGTACATAGGACAGCTTTACTCTCTCTCTCCTTTTTCTAAGCACCTAGTTTTAAAACTGTACTTAGATGGTATACAAGCCTGAGACCCACATTTGGGTTCTAGAAGACATCACTGTTTGCCTCTGCAGAACAAGTTCACTCCAGTTCTAGAAATGGGCTACAGACCCAGTACCTGCCTTAGATCACTGTGACAGGTGAGATACATGTGCATTCTGGTGTAAATTTGTCAGTAAGCCTTATGAAGCACAGGCATCTCAATTGAGCATGACTTTGCATCTTCTGTGCTGTTTCAAGAGTGAGGAAGTACAAGACTGTTAGGTTCTGGAAGCAAAGGACAGGAACCCCATGGCCACCTGGGACCTCGCTCAGGCTGAGGCAGAGCTCCCAACACGGGCTTCTGCTCCACTCCTTCCCCACTTCACAGCCTCTGTAGTTTTTCCCAGACTTTGTCTCCCCCAGGACACTCACCTGAACAATTCTCTCCCAGCCCATAGTTTCCCACATGATTTCCAGCTCCTTCCAGCCCCCATCCTTTGTTTCCCCCAGGAAGACCTTTTACAGAGCTAAAACCTTGTCCATGCACTCTTGGCATCCAGGCTCACCTGAACTGTCACAGGATCTTCGATTTGCTAGTGGCATGGGAAGCACAGGGACTACAGACTCCAGAGGGTGCTCATGATTTTTAAAGGGCCCCTGAGAGCAGTGCTGTCAAGGTTTGAGGTCCTGAGGAGCTGCTGGTCCTGAGTGAGAAAGTATCTGCCCCCAGGCCTTTGGGGGAGGCTCTCAGACTCTACCTGTCTGGCAGGTTTCTCTGGTTCAGGTCGTGAAGGTCTGAGATTTTTGTTCTGGGTAATATTCATCTTGTCCTCCAACCCACCCATATCCCTTGGGAGTCAGTGTGAGCAATGCTATTGCCACGGAAGCCAGAGTCTCCACCTTGCACAGAAGAAAGCCAGCCTTTCTTTCCTCAGGGAAAAGCTGTACTACCCCATGTTCTGAGTCCATTAAGAGAGACCCTGGGTTGTACCTGCAGCTCAGCACTCAAGACCCTCTCTAGGCCTTTCTTGCACTTCCTGTGTGGTCCTCCTGTATGATGGACACAGTTTCTAATCCGAAAATGAGAATTACAATTTTAAGTGTAGAACAGTTAGAACTGTTGGGCCTTTTAGACAAAATGCAAGTTGCCATCCTAGCCTCAGGAGTGTCTTTTTCATCTTCTCTGGGCCACTAAACTTTCCTTCCCTTCCCAACAGGACTAGGAGAGGGGGTACATGTTTCCTCTTTTCCAGGCACTTTTCCAGGCTTTGTCCAGCCCCTCAGACTCTTCCTTTTTTTTTTTTTTTTTTTTTTTTGGGTACCAAGAACCGAACCCAGTACCTTACACTTGCCAGGTAGGCACTGTGCCACTGAACCAGCCCTCTTTCTGTTTCTCTTGCTGGCTCTGTAGCCAGCAATGCCTGACTCAGGTTTAAGCCTGTTATGTAATATTCACGATGCCCCTCAGCCCACGTGACCAGGTTTTGCAGCCACTTCCCCTGCAGCACCCCTCTCACCTCGGCCCTTGGCTTACTGGGTGAGAATCTGCCTATCCATTCACCATACCTTCCTTTTTCCAGGGACCTTGGCCCCTCCTGTGAGCAGCCACCCTGAGAGTGCCACATGGGCTGAACCTCTCTTGTCACATTTTGGTTGGTGGTAGTGGGCTACTCACATAACATCTATGCACTCTTGAGGGACATCTATGTCTGTAAGGCCTGGCTCTGGGTAAAAGCAGGAAAAAGAGAAACTCTGATTTCTAGGGAAACACCCAAAGGAGAAGCTCCAGCTCCAGGGCTGGGAAGGCACAGGCTAACATCCAGCTCAGATCCTGGGAAGGGAGGGAAGGGAAGGCTTCTTGAAAGAAAGGAAATGGCTTAGCCAGTAAGTGTGAAGAAAGAGATCTAGGCAGGAGGTAGAAATGAACGGTCAGAGTCTTGAAGCATTGCCATGGACTTAGGGATTGGACTGCAAGATTGTGGCAAGGTTGGGGGCAGCAGGCATTCTAGAGTGCAATAGAGAGGCATGGAAAGGCTCCTATGGGCTCCCCTCTCATGGAGGGACAGCCTGGCATTACTAAGATCAGAACAGGACTAGAGGAGAGAACCACATCAGCTCGGAGTGCAGGGTGAAGGCCCAAAACAACCAACAGTCATAGGGACAAGCTGGGCACCAGGGCAGGGAAGTAACTGCAGAGGCCCAGGGCAGAGAGATGGGGAGTCACCACCCACCAGTCAAGGCTGGGTCTGCGTGACCAATATGAAGTACAAAGGAGAGCCTCTGCTCCCCACATCCTTTAAGGAGGCAACTCAGTCACACCTTCATTTCTTATAAATTTATTACATAATAATATTATAATAATTATTATCAATAATAATAGTATAAGAAACATAGATCTCTGTGGGGTGTATCACAACGTCAGGGTCAGGAGGCCTCAGGACTGGAGCAGGGGGTGAAAGTCCCCGGATGGAACTCCATACAAAAGGAGGGGTGAAGCAGAACTGACCCTGTAAAGTTAAAAACCCAAATTGAACAGAACCAAAAACCCACAGGTGAGTGAGACTGAGTGTGTATGCGGCAGTCTGTTACAGTGACTGCTGTGTGTGACCTGGTCTGTTGGTGAGAGGGTTTGTGGGCTTGAGTATGCCCAGGGAATTGGGCCAGCGGGCTGGGTGGGCACAGACCGGCATGCCAGGCCCCTGGGCTGTGAAAACTTCTGTTTTCTGTCTTTTTTTCTTTTATTAAAAAAAGCTAGAAATATAAACAGAAACTTGTGAGTGAAGTGGATGGAGCTTAGTCCAGACTCCAAACCCTAGGTTTAAAAATGCCCCTGGGCCCCCCACCCCACAGGTCATTGCTGAGTGTGAGGAGTCACAGTAGGGGGGCCAGGGCACTCTGGGGGTCTCCGACTCACCTCAGGACCTGTGGTTGCCTGACTCAAGGAGTACCCCATGATCCCCTCTGAAGCCCAAAGAAGGGCACCGCCTCCAGGTGGCCCTGTGGGGCTCCTCAAGCCGCAGACTCCCAAGGAACCCCGCTGGGCTGGGGAGGCTCTGGAAGGGGAGGTGGGCAAACAGCAGGACCAGGGCAGGACGCCTTTCACTTTCTTTGGAAGAGACAGGGTGTTTCAGACACACCCACGCACATACCCCAGCGTCCATAGCCCCACGAAGTCCAGAACAGCCCCTGGGCCCACATGACCAGGCACACACAGGGCTCCCACGAGCGCGGCTGCACACTGGCTCCACTTGCGCACACAGGCTGTACACATACAGCGCAGGGACAGGAGACTTCAGGTGGAGGCAGGGAGGCTTCTCTGCTGTAGTTGCCCAAGAACTTGGGGAGGCGCTGGAGCACCCCCAGCCGGGGAAAGACCCTGTGAGGAAGATGGCTGGGGGCGAGTGCCAGGGCCCAGCCCTAGCCCCAGGGCGAAGGCCTCCCAGGGCCCCCGGACCCGCTGGCGCCCAGCAGGACAGGCCCCGCTGGCGTCCAGTAGGACGTGAGGTGTGCACCTCCCCGAGCAGCACCTGAAGGGTGGGCGGGGCGCACTGCAGCTCCGCGAGGGAAGAGGCCGAGCCGGGGCCCCAGGTGGGCCACCAGGACCCTGGCCAGCCCCAGACCAGCTGGAGCGTCCCCTGCCCCGTAGGGGGGTGGCAGTGAGGGGCCGGAGATGGAAGACTGGCGGCTGCGGGCGGGACCAGCAGGGGGCCTTGGGGGTGAGGGGTGGGGAACCGTTACAGACAGAGATATTTGTTCCTTTTCTCGTTCCAAATATAGAGTGGATTAAAATATGCAAAGCGGGGCTGCTTGGCCCCCATCGAGAACCCCAATGTCGCCCCCCTCCCCCCGAGTCACCAAGGTGTGTCCTGACCTTGCATGCTGGACCAGGTTCCCTCCGGGGAGGTTGGCCACCAGAAGCCACGAAGGAGGGAGACGGCTAGAGCCCCCCCCAGCCCCTCCCGCCCAGCCTCCCTAGTCCAAGCCCTCCTGACTACTGGGTGGGGCTCGGCAGCGGGGGGTCAGGGGAGGGCACTAAGCAATGTACAGGGCAAGTCTCCGAGCAACAGCAAACAGGACGATTCATGCAACATTCCTGGCCCGGGCGCCGTCCTTGGTGGGGGGCGGGCCGAGCCCGCGGCCCAGGGTGGGTGGGGGCCCTGCCGGCAGGGCGCAGCGGGGCGGGAGCAGGGTGAGGCGTCAGCTGCCGTCCAGCTGCCTGAGCGCACGCTCGATGTTCATGCGGTGGCCCACGCGTGTGACGCCCAGCTCCACGAAGTCGTCCTTGGTGAGCGCGGGCAGATGTGCGCCCTCGATCTCGTGGTCTTCGAAGCGGTCGCGGTGCTCACCCAGATGGATGCTCTCAAGCCAGTCGCCCACGTCGAACTTGCTCCAGAGCTGCAGTGGCTTCTGCTGGAAGGGCCGTCGCGGGCCGGAGGCGCCCGGGCCGGGGCCAGGCGCGGGTGAGGGCAGCGGCGACGGTGAGGGCGAGCGGCTGCGCGCACTCACGCTGCGCACCACGAAGCGCACCTCCTTGGGCTCATGCGGGATGGAGAGGCTGGACGACTTGAGGATGGTGGGAGGCGTGAGGCTGAAGGGCCGCCCCGCGCCCCCCGTGCCCGCCCCCAGCCCCTCCACCCGCTCCAGCGACGCGGGCTTCACTGGGCTCGGGGCGCGTCGCGCCACTGGGTAGCGGCCACCGGGCCGAACCGAGTAGGAGGCCCCGGCGCCCGGGCCCCCAGGGCTGCGCTGCGCTGAGATGGTGCTCAGCTCACTGAGGCTGCTGAAGAGCCTGCGGAGGGAGAGGGGTTCAGGGCCAGGTGAGGGAAGCCAAATAAAGCAGGGTGGGCAGGCAGCGGGGAGCAGGGCAAGGGGCTAGGAAGATGGGGCGGGGAATGGGGAGTGGGAGGGATCTCCTATGTTCACTATGTCCCCTTCCTTTGGCCTCTTGGGTCAAAGCTTGTAGTACCCTGCTCTGGAGACCTTAATACTAGCAGGAACAAAAGGAGGAAGGCTGGTGGTCCACCACTCCATGGCACCAAAAGCAGCCCAGC